CGTAACGCCAGGAAAAAAAAAAAAAAAAAGGAAAGGAGTCACACGGTAATTACGATGGGCTAGGTTTTCATGGCCCCGCTGCTGGTTCTGAATGATTCCTGATCGTCCGTCTGTTTCAACAATCTCATGGTGTATGTATGTTTTTTATTATAAGCTGTCTTGAGGCTTATTGGAAGTAGGGAGTATGTATTATAAATAATAACTTTAAAAATATTCCCATCTGTTTTTCTAAGAAGGCTGAGTATTTTTTTTTCCATTTGTAGCTGTTGAAAAATGCATGTTTCCCCTTTTTTTTTTTTGTGGTATGCGGCCTCTCGCTGTTGTGGCCTCTCCCGTTGCGGAGCACAGGCTCCGGACGCGCAGACGCAGCAGCCATGGCTCACGGGCCCAGCCGCTCCGCACCACGTGGGATCTTCCCGGACCGGGGCACGAACCCGTGTCCCCTGCATCGGCAGGTGGACTCCCAACCACTGCGCCACCAGGGAAGCCCTATTTCCCCTTTTTTGATTTTCATCAAATCTTTTAAAAATAACAGCTTTATTGACATATACACTAGTCCCCCCTTATCCACAGGGGTTACCTTCCAAGACCCCCCAGTGGATGCCTGAAACCGTGCACGGATAGTACTAAACCCTATGTATAGTCTGTTTTTTCCTGTACATACATATCTGTGATAAAGTTTAACTTATTAATTAAGCACAGTAAGAAATTAGCAGTAGTAGCTAATAATAAAATAGGACAATTATGGCAATATACCTTCTTGTGCAAATTTAATGCCTTTTTCATCTTAACTAAGCACTTTCACGTGCTGTGTCCGCAACTTTTGCAATTTGATACGTGACAGCAAAACTAGCAGGAATTTCTGTTTCCTTCTTCACAAGTTTACGGACGGACGATTCATTCTTACCATAGATCTTGGCAGTCTCAGCACCCAGTTTTCCTTCCTTAAGTCGAGAACTTTTGCCTTTTCGCTTAAAGGAAGCACTTCACAGCTTCTCTTTAGTATATCTGAATTGCCAGCCTCACTACTTTTGTAAAATTAAGTAAAATTAGGATCACTTGGACATAAGCACTGTGGTCTGATGCCCGAGATGGCTACTGAGTGACTGGCGGGCGGGATCTGCTGGACAAAGGGACGATTCACATCCCAGACGGAGTGAGACGGCCCAGGAGTTCGTCACACTACTAAGAACAGCGCACGGTTTTAAACGTATAAATTATTTATTTCTGCAATTTTCCATCTAGTATTTTCAGAGTGAGGTTGACCGTGGGTAACTGAAACTGTGGAAAGTGAAACCTCGGATGGGGGCTGTGGGGGATGTCTGTAATTCACATGCCATGTGATTCACCCACTTAAAGTGTATACTTCAGTAGTTGTTAGTGTATTCACAGACTTGTGCAGCCGTTACAACAATCACTCTTAGAACATTTTCATCCCCCCGCAAAGAAACTCCATACCCATTATCAGTCACTCCCCATTTCTTCTCAATCCACTCAGCTTTAGGCAACCACTAGTCTGCTTTCTACCTCTGCAATAGGTTTATCTAACCTGGCCATGTTACATAAATGGAATCATATAATATGTGGCCTTTGCTCTCTGGCTTCTTTCACTTATTAGCATAATGTTTTTCGAAAGTTCACCCATGTTGTAGCAGGTGTCAGTATTTCATCCTTTTTATTGCCATGTAGTATTTCACTGCATGCCTGTAATTTTTTTGCTCTCTGTTCATAATTTGGGTTTTTTCCACTCTGACTGTTGTGAATAATGCTGTCATGAGCACTCGTAGATGTTTTCAAATGGAGATGTTTTCGTTTCTCTTGGGTGTCTACCTAGGAGGAGAATTGCTGGGTCACACGGTAACTCTATGTTTAACCTTTTGAGGAACCTCCAGACTGTTTTCCAACGCAGCCGAACCAGTTTGCATTCCCACCAGCAGTGAATGAGGGTTCCAGTTTCTCCATGCCCTTGCCAGCTCTTGCTGTTATCTGTCTTTTTGCCCGTAGCTGTCATAGTGGCTGTAAGGTTTTCAAACCTTAACCTAAGATACAGGTAGCATTCACACTGACTGAAAACGTTGTTGAAGGCACAGTAGACCCACTTCAGGGATGTGAGAATGTATCCGATTTTCAGGTCAAGCCAGGAAGCTACTTGGTGTTACGATCTCTTGTTTTGCTCTTGATTTGCAGGTGGTGGTTACCAATACAATTCCACATGAAATCCAGAAGCTCCAGTGCCCCAAAATTAAAACTGTGGATATAAGCATGATCCTTTCAGAAGCCATCCGTCGGATTCACAATGGGGAGTCCATGTCCTACCTTTTCAGAAACATAGGTTTAGATGACTGAACAGCTTTCCTTTCTTAAAACTCTCGAGGGCCAAACTGGAATAGTAAGGATAAGCACTGTGAGGCGCATGCCTGACGGATGGATTTCACGGGGACCATCTGTGTCTTGTTCCTTCCTTTTGTTAATTCCTATGAAGATAGACCAACTTTTTAAGTCCATCTGGGTGTTTGTGAGTTTATGGGGGCAATTTTTATAAAAGAAAAACTATATTCTCCTCTTAAATAAGTTAAGACCTGGTTGTGTTCAGTTTACCTGTTGGAAAAATAACTTGGAAAAAAGATTTTAAGCTCACAAACAACCTTTTCCCAAAGTTGCTGGAGCCCAGGTGCTTTAAAAAGTTAATAAAATAAAATGATATACTGTATGATAATGCAGGTGAAAAGCCAAAAAGATTATGCTGTTAAGTCCAGTAAATTACATTTTTAGAAATGCTGTTATAGACACGCATATGGAATATGTGACCGTTATTTATTTTCTGCAACAAAAGAAGGAATAAAAACTGTATATGTGTGTGTGTGTGTGTGTGTTGTTTTTTTTTTAACTTTGTGTTTTGGCAATTGTTTTATAACTAAAATAAAATGAGAGCTGAATATACATGCTGTGGATGTTGAAATGTTCATCAGCTTGTTGAGATTTCTACAGCTTTGGGGTGATACAGTAGTCTCTTCGGGATGTAATGTTCCCTGTTCTGTTTGTCCAGGACCCTGCACGTTCTCGACGCGTAGTCACTTGACTGCAGCAGGAGAGGAATTGGAACACCAGCTGTGAGCCACTGGGGCAGGTCAGGAGTTGGCGTGAGCTGCCATCTGCATCTTGGCGTGGCTCCTTGGCGTGGCATCTTTGTTCTGCTCCTTGTTTAAACAAAATGCAGCACCGCATGCTCTGGAAAATGAGATGCTGGCGGGGAGGGGGTGACAGAGGGCAAGCGATGTGACCCTTGTCAGTGTCAAGCATCTAGTATTGTCTGTCAGAGTTCAGAACTCAGAACTCTACCTTAGAGTTTATCAGGCTGGGAGACACTGGGGTCCCATGAGTTATGCCACTAAGGTCACATAATGGCAGTCCCCTCCAATTCATGCAGGAAAGAATTAAGACTTTATTACAAAGAAAAAGGTTACTTTTTCTTCCAAAAAACCTTAAACCTTTGCTTTCTGAGTGCATGCTCAGAAAAGACCTGAGAAAGCCTTTAAGCTTGCACCTCTGGCTGCCCTTGAGGTTCTGTGTAAGCAAGAAGTGAGGGCCACGGCAGGGTTGTAAATTTTCTGGCTAAGTGTTGAAGGCATGCCCCAGGACACACAGCCCATCTACAGACTGGGAGAGTTGTTCTCTCTCTCGCTCTTTTTTTTTTTTTTTTTTTTTTTTTTTTTTTTTTTTGGTTTCAGGGTTTTACGGAAGTGTGTGATGACTCACTAGCTGACTGTCCAGAGATTTCAGTTGCCACAAACAACAAAGAATACAGACTTTACAAAATCAGTTTTGAAAAGCCACTATGCACACAAACCCTGTGGAGGAAGGAGAATCTGATTTCCAGACTTTCACATTTTATAATATTTAAAATACCAGTTTTCGACAACAAGAAAAAATTCCGAGGCATGTAGAGAAACGAGAAGGTTGGGCCCATGCACGGCGTCTTCCTTGAGGGAGCCCAGACTTTAGACCTACTAGACAGAGACTTTAAGTCAACTATTTTAAACATGCTCAAGAGCTAAAGGAAATCATGGGAATTATGTCTCACCAAATGGAGAACATCAATAAGGAGAGAGAAGTATACAAAAAAATGAACCAGACAGAGAGGATTTGAGGAAGATGGTGGAGTAGGAAGCACCAGGAATCTGTCTCTCCACCTAGACAGTTGCAGTGGCAAATACATCTGATGATTTTGGAATTCTGGAGTCTGTTGAAGGTTTGCAATTTCCAGGGGAAGTGTCAGACAGTAGATAATAGCTAAACCAGCTCTTAGTACAGTTGGAGGTACCCAGCCCCCATGCCCAGCCCTGTGGCAGGTAGCTCTGCACATGCTCCTGGAGTAGTCTGCACCAGCTTGTGGGAGCCAGGATAGGCAAAAAGGCTCCCTCCTCCAGATAGCAGGGATCTGTGCTCCGATAGCTGATATCGGCTTCTGATCACAGAAGTGCAAAGAGGCTGGTAGCCATTGTTACTTCACCTCCCCCATTGTTGCAAGCTCCTCCTCCTCCAGTTGAAGAAGGAGTAGTGCCTAACTCGTGCCATGAGGCCAGCATTACCCTACTACAGAAAGCAAAGACATTATAAGGAAGATGAAGCGAAGTCCAATATCTCAAGAACATAGGTGCAGAGATCCTCAACAAAATACTAGCAGAACAATTCCAACAGTGTATAAAAAGAATTATGCATAACCAAGTGGGTTTATCCCAGATATGCAAGGCTGTCTCAACATTTGAAAATCAACTCCTGTAATCCATCACATCAACAGACTAAAAAAAGAAAAATTACACGATTGTATCAATTGATGCAGAAAAATCATCCGACAAAATCCAACATCCATTCATGATAAAAACCGAGTGACCTAGGAGTAGAGAGGGAATTTGCTCATCTTGTTAAAGACCATCTTCAAACAACCTACAGTGAACGTCACACTTAGTGGTGAGATCTTTCCCACTAAGATCAGAAATAAGGCAAGGATGTCTCCTCTCATCACGCTTTTTCAACATTGTACTGGAAAGCCAAGCTAACACAATAAGACAAGGATTTAAAAGGTACACAAATTGGGAAGGAAGAAATAAAACTGCTTTGTTCTCAGATAATCTGATCATCAATGTAGAAAATCTGCTTTGTTCTCAGGTAATATGATCATCAATGTAGAAATCTGAAAGAGTAACAATGCCTCCACCCCAACTCGGAACTAATAAGTGATTTTAGTTAGATTGCAGGGTACAAAGTCAGTTGGTTTTCTATATACCAGCAATGAACAAGTGGAATTTGAAAATAAAGGTACAATACCATATACATTAGCACCACAAATATGACATACTTAGGTATGAATCTAACAAAACATGTATAAGATCTATATAAGGAAAACTGCAAAACTGATGAAAAAATCAAAGAACTAAATGAGAGCTAGTCCATGTTCATGGAGAGGAAGACTAATTGTCAAGATGTTCTTTCGAACTTGATCTAAAGATTGAGTGCAATCCCGGGGACTTCCCTGGTGGTGCGGTGGTTAAGAATCCAACTGCCAGTACAGGGGACACGGGTTCAAGCCCTGGTCTAGGAAGATCCCACACGCCGCAGAGCAACCAAGCCCATGCGCCACACTTACTGAGCCTGTGCTCTAGAGCCCGTGAGCCACAACTACTGAAGCCCGTGCACCTAGAGCCCGTGCTCTGCAACAGAGAGAAGCCACCGCAATGAGAAGCCCACGTACTGCAACGAAGAGTAGCCCCCGCTCACCACAACTAGAGAAAGCCTGTGCACAGCAACAAAGACCCAGTGCAGCCAAAAGTAAATAAACAAATAAAAGATTCAATGGAATCCCAATCAAAATCCCACCAGGTTCTTTTGTGGATTTTGACAAACTGGTCCTAAAGTTTACACGGAGAGAGAAAAGGCTCAGGATCACCAATACAGTATCGGAGAAGAGCTCGGCCGGGGTAGTCACACCTGCCCCACTTCAAGGCAGCTCTAAACCCAAAGACGCATAGACCGGTTGAGCAGAGCACCCAGAAATAGACCCACATATATATAGTCAACCAGTCTTTGACAAAGGAGCAAAGGCAACATAGTGGGCCAAAAATAATCTCTTCAACAGGTAGTACTTGAATAGCTGGATATTTACATGGAAAAAAAATGAACGTAGACTTAAGTGTGAAAGTCAAAAACATAAAACTCCTAGAAGAAGACCTAGATGACCTTGGTATGGCAGTGACTTTTTAGATATGACACCAAAGGGATGGTCCATGAAAGAAAGAATTGGTAAACTGGAATTAACTAAAATTAAAAACGGTTGCTCGGTGAAATGCACTGTTAAGAGAGTGAAAGACAAGCCACAGACAGAAAAATCTTTGGAAAACACTTATCTGATAAAAGACTGGTAAAAAGAACAGTTAAATCTCAATAATAAGAAAACAATAGCCCAACTAAAAATTGGGCTGAAGACCTTACAGACACCACCAAAGAAAATATACAGATGGCAAATAAGCATATGAAAAGATGCTCTCTATCGTATGTCTTCAAGGAACTAAAAATTAAGTGTGTAGTGTGAGATACACTACAAGGAACTAAAAAATAAGTGTGTAGTGTGAGATACACTACACACTTATTAGAATGACCAAAATCTGGAACACTGACAACACCAAACGCTGACAAGGATGTGGAGCAACAGGAGCTCCGTCTTTGCTAGTGGGAATGCAAAATAACCACTTTGGCAGAAAGCTAAACACACTTTTACCATGTTATCCAGCAATCATGCTCCTTGGTATTTACCCAAAGGAGTCAAAAACATGTCCACGTAAAAACCTGCACATGGAATTTTATAGCAGTTTTATTCATAATTGCCAAAACTTGGGAGGCAATCAAAATGTCCTTCAGTAAGTGAGTGGATAAATAAACTGTGGTACTTCCAGACAGTGGAATATTATTCAAGCAGCAAAAAGAAATGAATTATCCATGAAACGTTGTGGAGGAAACTAAAATGAATCTTATTAGACAATCTGAAAAAGCTATAATACTATATGATGCCAACTATATGACAGTCTTTATGGAGACTAAAAGATCAGTGGTTGCCAGGGGTTGGTGGGGGGATGGAGGGAGGACTAGAGAGAGCACAGAAGATTTTTGTGGCACTGAAAAATACTCTGTATGGTACTATGATGATGGATATATGTCATTATACATATGTCTAAACCCATAGAATGTACAACACCAAGAGTAAACCCTAATGTAAACTGTGGACTTCGGGTGGTGGTGATGTGTCCATATATGTTCACCAGTTGTGACAAATGTACCACTCTGGTGGGGTTGCTGATAATGGAGAGATTGTGCATGTTGGGGGCTGGGGCCATGTGGGAAATCTCTGTACCTACTGCTCGGTATTGCTGTGAACTTAAAACTGCTCTAAAAAAATAAAGTCTTTAAAAAAAAAAACAAAAAAAAAACCTAGACTGGTTTGACAAAAAACTGGGTACCATAGCCTAGCCAGGCTGACTAGTAAAACTAACCATCGTATTAGGATATTGATTGTAATCTCCAGGGCAACCACTAAGAAGATAAGTAAAAAAATACATAGTAAAAGAAAGGAGAAGGGGACCAAAATGGTGGACTAGAAAATATATATGCAGCACCAAAAAGGGAGTAGTGGAGGAACTGAGGACTAAAAAAGATACGACATATAGAAAACAAATAGCAAACTGGCAGAAGTGTTTCCTTATCGGTAATTACATTAATGTCAATGAATAGAACTTTCCAATCAAAAGGCAGACATGGGCAGGATGGATTTTTTTTTTAATGATCCAGGGGCTTTCCTGGTGGTGCAGTGGCTGGGGGGCCGCCTTTCCTTATCGGTAATTACATTAATGTCAATGAATAGAACTTTCCAATCAAAAGGCAGACATGGGCA